TATATAAATACAAAAGCAGGGGAGAAAGGAAGAGAAATATTTGAAAAAATATTGACTGAGAATTTCCCAAATTAAATGTCAGATACCGAACCATAGATCTGGGAAGCTCAGTGAACACCAAGCAGGATAAAGGCCAGAACAAAACACAGCCATAATTAAATATATCACTTTCAAACCCCGGAAAATTAGAGACAGAAAAAAAAATTCTGAGTGGGTGAAGAGACACCTGTAGAGGGACAGAGATAAGCATTGCCTCCAACTTCTCTTCCAAAATCTCACAAACAGAAAGAGCCTGAAATAAAGTATTTAAAATATTGAAAGGAAAATCACACCAGCTTAGAAATCTGTACCCTGTGAAACTCTTTCAAAAATGAAGCAGATGCCAGGTGTGGTGTTGTACACCTGTAATCCCAGCGGCTGGGGAGGCTGAGGCAGGAGGATCGATAGTTCAAAGCCAGCCTCAGCAAATGGTGCTAAGCAACTCAGTGAGACCCTGTTTCTAAAGAAAATACAAAATAGGTCTGGGGATGTGGCTCAGTGGTTGAGTTCCCCTGAGTTCAATCCCTAGTACCCCGCCCCCCGACAAAAAAAAAAGTGAAGCAGAAATAGAGACTTTCTTGGACAAACAAAAGTTGAAGAAATTTGTTACCAGTAGATCAGCTTTGCAAGAAATCTTCAAAGAACTTCATTAAAGAAAAAGAAGTTAATACAGGTCAGAAATGAAGAGCCTTTGAAGAAGGAATAAGTGAAGGTAAAAAATCAAACTTTCATTTTTTTTTAAATTTTATTTTGAAGTGCTGGGATTGGACCCAGAGGCACCCTAACACTGAGCTTTTAATTTTTTCTTTTGAGACAGAGTCTAAGTTGCCCAAGCTGGTCTTAGACTTGTGATTCTTCTGCATAAGACCTTGGGTTTGTCCCCACCCCCACCACCAAACCCCCCCAAAAAAAGAAAGGAGGAAAAGAAAAAGAGAAAGAAAGCAGGACAAGCTATATTGATTTAAGAGAGCAAGGAAACATATCAGAGATAGAGGGCATTATATAAATAAAGGGTTCAATACTCCAAGAAGATATAAAAATATGTTAGGCAATATGTGTGTGCCTAGCAACAGACCATTAAAACATGTGAGGCAAAGCAGATGGGATTACAAAGATAAACAGATGAATCCTTATTATAGTTGGAGACTTACACAACCCTTTATCAAAAGCACAAAAAATCAGCAAGGATATAGTTACTGAATAACACCATTAATCAACTGCTATAATTGATGTCTATAGACTACTTCATCTAGGAACAGCAGAAAAAAAATCTTCTCAGGCTCACATGGAATATTCACTATAAGATAGACCATATTGGGGATAGGGTTATGGCTCAGTAGTAGAGCACTTGCCTAGCATGCATGAGGAACTGGGTTCAATCCCCAGCACCACATAAAAAACCTAAATAAACAAAATAAAGGTACTGTGTCCATCTACAACAAAAAAATAATAATAATTTAAAAAAAAGATAGACCATATTCTGGACCATTAAACACTCCTTAAGAAATATCAAAAAGTGGGCTCTCATGTCACAGTGTCATTAAATTAAAAATCAATAATAGAAAGATAATTGAAAATCCCCAAATATGCAGATACTAAGCAACATGCTTCTAAATAACACATGGATCAATTACATGATACTTTGAACTAAATAAAAATGAGAACACATTTCAACAAAATATGTGGGATATTGTGAAGTCAGAGCATAGAGGGAAACTGGTAATGTTGAATGCTTATATTAGAAAAGAAGATCGACAATCAAGCACCTAAGTTTCCTCCTTAGGAAAATAGAAAAAGAAGAATTAAGTAAATCCAAAGTAAGCAGAAGAAATAAAAATTAGAGCATAAATCAATGAAATTAAAAATGGCAGTAGAGAAAATCAGTTAAATAAATGTTTTATTCAATAGATTGATAAAATTGACCTAGATTAACTAAGGAAAAAAAAGAGGATACAAATGACTAATATTAGAACAGAGGGGATATCACTAAATCTCATACACACTAAAAGGATGATAAAGGAATGTTATGAACAATACTATGACCACAAATTTAATAACCTAAATGAAATGGACCAACGAATTCCTTGAAAGACACAGTCTGCCAAAACTCATACAAGAAGAAATAGACATTCTGAATTGGTCTATAGCTATTAAATAAATTGAAATAATAGCAACCTTCCCAAACAGAAAATGTCAGGCCCACATGGGTTTATAGATGAATTCTACCAATCATTTAAGGAAGATATCATATTAATTCTTTATAATCCCTTCCGGAAGATAGAAATAGAGCACAACCTGTCTAACTCATTCTACGAGGCTTGCATCACCCTTACACCAAAAACAGATAAAAACATCACGAGAAAAGAAAATAACAAACCACTCCCATGTCGTTCATGAACATAGTTAGAAAAATCCTCAACAAAATACAAAAGTAACTACATATCACAACCAGGTGGAATTTATTCCAAGTATGAAAAGCTGGTTCATAAATCTAATCTGATCAATTACTAAAGAAGAAAAGTCACTCAAGCATATCAGTAGATGTGGAAAAAGCATTTGTCAAAATCGACAACACCCATTCATGATAAAAAAAATTCTTAGTAAACTAGGAATATAAGGGAACTTCCTCAACCTCATAAAGAATATCTATTTTTTAAAAACCCTACAGCTAATATCATAGGTAACAATAAGGGTAGGAAACTAGAGGGTTTTCTACCGAGATGAGGAACAAGGCAAGGATATCCCTCTAATGCAATATGTCAAGAAAAGGAAGGAATAAAAATATAAAATAAAATAAAAATATTGTCCCTATTCATAAATGACATGATTGACTATGTAAATAATCCAAAATAATACATCCCCCCCAAAAAAAACTCCTACAAAAGTCAATTATTCACCTACATACCAGCAATGAACAAGTGGAATTTGAAGTTTAAAACAGAATACCATTTAAAAAAAATCCCTCAGGAGCCAGGAGTGGTGGTAATTTTCTATAATACCAGCTATTTAGGAGGCTGAGGCAGGAGGATCACTAATTCAAGTTCATCCAGCGGAACTAGCAAGACCCTGTCTCAAAATATTCTGGAGGTGTAGCTCAGTGGTAGATTGTTTGCCAACATGCACCAAGCCCTGGGGTCCCTGCATTCAATCCCCAGTTAATAAATGGGCCAAGGAACTGAACAGATACTTCTCAGAAGAAGATACACAATCAATCAACAAATATATGAAAAAATGTATAATATCTCTATCAATTAGAGAAATGCAAATCAAAACTACTCTAAGATTTCATCTCACTCCAGTCAGAATGACAGTTATTAAGAATACAAGCAACAATAAGTGTTGACAAGGATGTGGGGGAAAAGGCACACTCTTAAATTGCTGCAAATTTGTGCAGCCAATCTGGAGAGCAGTATGGAGATTCTTTAGAAAACTTGGAACGGAACCACCATTTCACCCAGCTATCCCATTCCTCATTTTATACTCAAGGGACTTAAAAACAGCATACTACAGTGATGCAGCCACGTCAATGTTTATAGCAGCTCAATTCACAATAGCTAAACTGTGGAGCCAACCTAGATGCCCTTCAATAGATG